GTACTACACTAACGAATCGCCTTAATAATAATCACAAAAATAATAATAGGTACCTAACATTAAATATCTGTAACATATCTAAATAATTTGAATACGATGTTATTGATATTGTTTTAAATATCTTTTTCTACTTGAGCTTAATATGTTCTTTATTGTTGTTATTATWATTACGTGTTATACGGTTATAATTTTACTATATCATTGTTATGTTTTTCACCAGAATTTTCAGTCATAAATTAAACGCGTTTGAATGTTTGCTAACAATATTATATTATTTTTGATTTAATGTTCTTGCAGTGGTGGTGTCAAATACTACATGTTATTCTGCACTATTTTTTGCTAACCAACTACGCATGGATGTTGGCCGAAGGTTTTTATTTGCACACTCTTCTCGTGTTCGCCTTTACGTCCGAAGATACTCTAGTTCGATGGTCTTGGACTTTGGCCTGGTCAACGCCGTTGGTCGTAATTTCTCTGTACACATTACTACGAACTATCAATGACCACACGTCTGAGTGAGTAAAACATGTAATATGTTAAAAATATTGCTTTTTTTTTTAGCACGTAGGTATATGTATGTGGTATAGTCACAAATCATAGATATACAGTGACAAATATATATTTATCTGAAATATCGAACAGTTTATCGATTTTCGAACAACTCTTGATAATGTTTTATTGAAACTTCATATTAACCAATTAACGTATGCATTTACCATAATTAGATTAGGATATTAGGGACAACAAAACATTTTTCAAACTTATATTTTTAAACCTTTTCAATATTTACATGAATTTATATTATATTTATATATTATTTAGATTTTAATTAAGCATAGCAATTATAGTTATGTGAATCAAAGAGAGTCAGATGTACTCAATAGGTTAAATATCCTAATAATGTCAATTACCAAACTAGAATTAATCGAAAACATAAAGGAATACTACAAAACATSTGAATACAATCAGATATACAGACAGTGTCAACATGCATAGAAGATTTTTTTTGTGAAGTAAAAAATAATTTTCGTGCACGTTAAATTTACAGCGAAGTATTTTCAGACAATTGAACGACAATTAAATGGGCATGATCTTAGTAATGTATGGAAATAAACTCGATAAAATAAATGTAAAAATTAAAACCGCACAAGTATTGTGATTTTTAGTAATAATCCAACAATCAATTAAAATTTTTTAAACGAAAACAAATTACTTTGTTTTATTTAGATTGACCGATAGCGGTGCATTTTTAGTTACTACGATGTGTCGTATTGTATTGTCACGRCTTCATATGTGTTGAATATAATTCAAAAAAATAAATAAACAGTTTTATTTAAAAACAAATATGTAAATTGTATTTTATACAAAATTAAAATTAAGTTCAAATAATATGAGTAATGCAGTTAAATTGGTATAACCAACAGTATTAATTTGAAAACATTGAAAAAAATTCTAATAATTAAATAATAAAGTTTATTTTTGTAGGTATATATTCACAATGTGCCTATATTATGTACTTACATAATATATACTTAATTTATATAAAACTATATTGACAACAGTAGTCATAACCAAAATCARCTAGAAAAATAAGTATTTACAACCATTATTAATTTATTCGATGTTTATTGACAATTAAATGTTGACAGATAATTTTGTGAAGGCACCTAATTGATTACACTCATAAATATAGAGTTTTTCAATTTAATTATATTTATTTAAATGGGTACCATAAAATATATTTTGAAAAATTATGTCCTGTTGATATAGCGAACGTATTTAGAGTATAAAATATACGCTAAAGGTGAACATTTAGTTAACGATAAAATGTAAACAATTTTAAGTGCACCAGAAATCACCTTAAATCGTTCTAACGGTAAATTTATTGCGGGTTGCCATTTATCGACAATGTATTCCAATGGTGTTTTCTATATTCTATTTTACATCTATAATGTAATTAATAAAATAACAGCAATTGAGAATGCGATCAAATATCTTTTAAAAAATCGTTCATCAGAATAAGAAAAAATATTGAAAATCAATTAATATTGGTAGTTACTTATCCATAATTCTTAATTTTCATTTGTGATAACTACTTAAAGAACAGAAACCGAAACAAAATATACCAAGCACTTMATCGACTGATAGTATTAATCTAATGCAATTCATCAAGAATTCTATCCACACCAATTTTATMATTTATTCAAATTCTGATTATTGGAATTTACAAAAATACTTCAAGAATACATTTTCAGATTTAAGAGATTTTTAGTCGTACTTATGGCACGATTAGTAGTAGTTACTTCAGATACTGTGTTCTGTGGCGATACAAGCTTCTGTTTTTCAAATGATACGCTCTTCAATCCTCAGTAAAATATTTAGTAAATAATTTATTAAAAATTGATACTACATAACACAAGATTCAAACGAGTAACATTTCAGTAATCAAAAACGTTTGTGTTAAAGAATAGTTCTCAAAAATGGTTTTATTACAAAAATTTATAATTCATGTAAAATCGGATATATTATTTATCACACTTGGACTATTTTTATCAATTGTGAATGTTCATGGATTAATATAAACTCTTAAAAATTTTAACTTACTTCCATATCTTTCAAACCCATTATCATAGGCGTAAGTACAGAAAGTTAAGTAACTCAAACACTTCTTGTTCGAATTTTGATGTCGATACGACAATATTTTCAAAAATAATACCTCTTGTATTTTCAATAAAACATGATAAAAATAGTAACCATATGTAGTTAGCATCATATAAACATTGTAATACCCTTAACATTGTATCTTAACAAAAACTAATAACCTTTGTTGTTGATGTTTTTTTAGTTCAATAAAAAAAAAAAAAACATGATAATCAGGCCGATTACTATTATTATTATTGCCTCTTACATAGAAATTTCAAACATTTTATTTAAATCGTAAATTTATTTTTAA